CTCGTCCTGTCCCCACACGGGAGCTGCTCCAGCCTCGGCCCATCTCCGTGGCCTCCTCTGACCCTGCTCCAGCAGCTCCATGTCTGTCCTGTGCAGAAAGAAAGTGCAGAAAGCCTGGATTTTTGCACGTCTCCTCCCAGAGTCCTCTCCAGTTGTCCAGACTTGCCTTCCCATCACATGCCCTGTCCTGAAATGAGCCCTGGCCCCAGCTCCAGTGTCCCCTGCAAAGTGTCACACCTCCCTGTCCTTCTCTCCCTGCAGCACAGCGGCTGCCACCAACATGAACGAGACCAGCAGCCGCTCCCACGCCGTGTTCAACATCATCTTCACCCAGAAGCGGCATGACGCCGAGACGGACATCACCACTGAGAAGGTGAGAGCAGAGCCTGGGGGACTCGAGGGAACGCATGGGGACTTTGGGTGATATCGACAGCACTTGGGATGAGATGGTGCAGCCTGATGGAGGGTTGAAACAGGCTGGATATAAGTCCCAGGATCCTCATGATCCCTTGAGGGACTGGCCCCCGGACAGGAAGTTTGGCAGCTGGTGCCTGTTGCGGAAGGAGTCAGAGTTAGTTACGCACTTCACTCTATTCACTTCACCACTTCTTCACCACTATTGCGGCAAGGAATCTCTCCACCTCAAGGAGTAACCTCGAGTGGCATCCCCACTCAAGGGGAGATCCTGGCGTGCAGCTGCTGCCGTGCAGGAGAGCTCAGGGAGCCCTGGGCTGTTCACTATTTATGGAGTGAGATGATTGACTTATAGTCATATTTACATACTAGCTGTGTTTTGGTTAGTGCGAGCTCAGCTAGCCTTCAGCTGTTTGAGGAAGATGTGCAAGACAGCCCTTGGCTGTTGTGCTGTTTATCTGCCTCTCCCCAATCCACTCAGAACCGGAGCCGGATGCAACGATCACGACCAGACGCATCCATTATGACGGCCACTGGTGGTTAGCCCTTGAACAGGGCTGCAGGAGATAAAGGTCAGGTTAGGGGGGGAGCACACCCTTACAGTGCCCTCCAGCCCTGCCTGCAAAGATGTTAGCCCTGCTCCAGGCTAAATCCGGGCAAGGATGACCCCGCAGAGCCCACCTCCACCTTCTGTCACCTTGAAGGAGGTGTTTGCTCCATGCCGGTGCCCGCTTTGCTGTGCCTGCCGGGGCTGACAGCCTCGTCTCTGCCTGCAGGTCAGCAAAATCAGCTTGGTGGACCTGGCAGGGAGCGAGAGAGCTGACTCCACTGGCGCGAAGGGCACAAGACTAAAGGTGAGAACCGGTGCGAGGTTCCCTTCTACCGGCGGGGACACTGCGTCCTGCCCCCTTGTCCCCAGCTGGGACATCTCCTTTCCTTGCCTGGTTCCTTGCCCACTATTGTTTGAAAGCTGCCCAGTGCCAGTTCCACTGGGGTCCATTAGTCCCAGCTGGGAGGTACCGGTTACCCAGTAAGACCAGCTGCTCTTTGCCCACCCTGTACTGGGACTTCCCCATCCTCCTGGTGCATCGGGCTTCAGCACTGCGCTGAAATGGGGCCTGAGCCATCTGGGCTTTTTGTCTCTCCACCAGGAAGGAGCAAACATCAACAAGTCCTTGACCACACTGGGGAAAGTCATCTCTGCCCTGGCCGAAATGGTACGTAGCCAGAGCACAGACAAGTGGCGGCGCCGCGGGGGAATGGGCTCAGCTCAGCAGGGGTGGGCTCAGCTCCCAGGGATGGAGCATCCCAGCTCCAAGGGACAGGCAGATACATCCCAAGCTGTCCCTGGGCTTGGGATGAGCTGGGCTGGTGAGGCTGCTGTCTCCCTGGGGACCTGCATGCACCACCTTCTGCTTGGGGGCTGGGAAGCTGTGATGGGAATGAGGAGGGGAGCAGCTCACTTAAACAGTCTCTTCACTTTCTTTTGCAGGATTCGGGGCCGAACAAGGTAGGTGCCCTGAATGGGCTGGTGAAAGGGGGTTGGTTTTTAGTTCAGGTGGTTCAGAGCAGGTCGCAGGGTGGTTTGGGGGTGAGGCTGTGCCTGGACCCCACACCACGCTTTTGGGGACTGGCAGAGCCCTCAGCATCCTCATCACCCTCCTCACACTGTGGCTCTTGGTACCTGGTGTTAAACACCTGGCCCAGGCAGGGCATATCACAGGCAGGACCTGTGAAGCTGAGCAGAGCTGCCTGAGGTGGCCGGGCAGAGCCATCTTCCTTTGAGTCCCCATGACTGGGGACCGGCTGTCACCTTCCCTTTGAAGAGAGCAAGGCAGCCTGACAGCCCTTCTCTCTGCTCTCCATCCCCCAGAACAAAAAGAAGAAGAAGACAGATTTCATCCCTTACCGGGACTCGGTGCTGACCTGGCTGCTGCGGGAGAACCTGGGTGAGGAGGCGGGTGGGAGGTACAGGCTCAGTGACGGGCATGGCTGCCTAGCGGAGGGTGATGGCTGGCGCTGGGGACTGGTATTGCCCTGATGTGGGTGGATCTCTCCGGGCAGGGGGCAACTCCAGGAACGCCATGGTGGGCGCTTCTAGCGCCGCCAGACCCTCAGCACCCTCAGGTAGGAAGAAATACCCTTGTCCCCCTGGCAGTGGGCAAGGGCGGGGGGGTCTCTGAAACCCAGGTTCTGCCACATGCTCTCCTCACCTCCGTGGCATCCCTGGCTGGGGGGGATGCTGTGGGGGCCCCTTGTAAACTCAGACAAGAGCCCAAAGGATTGTCCTGGCCTTGGGACCCTCCAAAGGATCACTTGCAAGAGCGGCTTGGTGACACTCCCACTTGCCCAGCAGCTGGGAGGGTTTGCTTTCCCCACCATTGCTCAGGACTCTGCCCTTCCTTAGATATGCCGACCGTGCCAAGCAGATCCGCTGCAACGCTGTCATCAATGAGGACCCCAACAACAAACTCATCCGGGAGCTGAAGGACGAGGTGGCACGCCTGCGCGACCTTCTCTACGCCCAGGGCCTGGGGGACATCATTGACAGTAGGTACCCCCTGGTGCTCTTGGCAGCGGCTCCAGTCCCCACAGCTGCCCTCCATCCCTGCCTTGCACGGCAGGCTCCCGCTGCCAAAGTGTGTCCAGGATGCCTCCAGCGAGGCCCTGTGCCTATGTTCGCAACACCTCCAGCCCGCTCCTGTAAGCAGGAGGAGCTGCTTTACACCAGCAGACTTCCCCTTCCCCCCTTCCACCTCCCCTCTTGAGCATCCTGCGCTCAGCAGAGGTGCCAGGAAGATATTCCTGGGGCTGTGCCCACCTGCAGTGTCTCTTCCATGTGCTGTCGGAAAACCTACTGAGATGAACCCAGTCTTGTTCTGTTCTCTCTGTCTTATGCCCGCTCCTTGCCATCTCTCTCTCTCTTAGCCCATCCTGCTGCAGGAGGATCCAAATGTGTGTATTCCCCATCACTGGTACTCTCTGTTGCTTTCACGGCTTTTTGGGAGGCACAGGATGCGCGTGGGGGCACCCGTGCAGCATGGGGAAGGGTCCCGCAGCCAGCCCTGGCTGATGGAGAGGCCAGGGAGCTGCCAAACGGGACAGTGGTAGAGTCACAGCTAGTGCCTGATAGCATTCAGAGGGACCAGCGTCCTCCCGCTGCGCCATGCTGAGGGCCCAGTCCCCACGGAGACTCCTTCCTCCATGCTGTCACGATGTTTCCTCTCTTTGCTGCTGCTGCTGCTTCTGCTTGCACTGGGGCTTGTCATGACTGGAGCCCAGCCTGGCACTTGGGTGGGCTGGCATGATACTCTCCTGATGGAGGGCTGTGCCGTGACAGCCAAAAGGATTTTGCCCAGGGATAAGCACTGTCGCCCCATCCCCACTGGGCCAGGCAGTGCCCATGGAGGAAATGGGGACCAGGCCTGTCCCCTGGCTAGCTCGGCTCCCTGAGATGCAGGCTGATGGAGATCAGTGCCTAACACTGCACCTGCAGCACGCCAAGCCCCCATGACTTCTTGGGGCTGGAGGAGCATCGCTGGGTCCCTTTGCCACAGGATCCGGTGGCAGCTGATGCTCAGGGTGCCGGCTGGCACGTGCTGCTGCCTGTAATGGGCATGTTCCCTCCCTGCCCTCACTGCTCGCTCTCAGGCTGCCCATGGGGCTTGGGCTCTGCCAGCAAGGGGATCCCAAAGCTCCTCCTGCTCCATCCCCCCTGACCCCTTTGTAGGGCCACTGCCTCTCCTCCCCCTCCCTTCTCATTCTCCACCCTTAGACCCAGCTCATCCAGGGCAGCAGGCAGGGAAAACCCCCCAGTTGTGTTGGTTGGGGAGGATGACAGGAGCAGCTCTTGGGGAGGACGTTTGACCTCAAGACCTGATGGTTGCAGGATATGTTGCAAAAAAACATCTCTGTGAGGCCAGGAAGGCTCCAGGGCTATTCCTGCAGCTGCTTCCCAAAGCAGCCCTGTGCTCCTAGGGGGCTGCCCGGGCTGGGGGAGAGATACATGTGCCCTTGCCCTGCTGCTGCCTGCACCGCTGTGCTGTCGCCTGTGCCTTCTCCTTGTAATTCCTAGCTTTCTTCTGGCCACTCTTTTTTTTTTTTTTTCCCAACAGCTTTTCTTGTCTCTATCTTTCTCTCTCTCTTCCTCTCTGTGTGTCTTTCCCTGGCCCATCCCTCCTTCCCCACCCCGTAGATGTGTCCGACTTTGAGAACAATAATGATGCTAGAGGGACAGAGCTGAGTCACCGCCATGACAATCTCTCCACAGTGACCAACGCCATCGCCGGGATCAGCCCCTCTTCCTCTCTCTCGGCCTTGTCCAGCCGCGCTGCCTCCGTTGCCAGCCTCCATGAACGCATCATGTTTGCTCCAGGCAGCGAAGAGGCCATCGAAAGGCTCAAGGTAAGAGGCCAGCGCCTGGCAGGACGGAGGGCTCAGCTCACCCCTCTTGTGCTGAGGCTTGTGGAGGGTACTTGGTATTTTCTGGACACCTGTTATGGGTGATGCTCATGGGAAGCGATGCTCAAGTGCACTCTTGCAGAGTGGATGGGACCCACAGCTGCCCAGTGCTCTGGACTGCTGAATGGGAGAGGGTTTGGTATGGTAGGGTCCACATGGTGCTGCCATCCTCCCTGCGAAGTCACCGCTGTCTTTGGCCTGTGGGACAGGTGCTGCTGGCTCAAGGACAAGCGCTGCTGGCTTGGGATGGGAGCTCCTGGCTTGGGATGGGTGCTGCCTGCTCGGGATGTGTGCTCCCGGCTCAGGATGGGCACTGTCGGCTCGGGATGGGCGCTCCCAGCTTGGGATGGGCGCTGCCAGCTCGCAATGGGTGCTCCCAGCTCGCGATGTGTGCTCCCGGCTCGGGATGGGTGCTCCCAGCTCGGGATGTGTGCTCCCAGCTCTGGATGGGCACTCACAGGTTGAGATAGGTGCTCCTGGCTCGGGATGGGCACTCCTGGCTCAGGATGGACACTCCTGGCTCAGGATGGGTGCTCCCGGCTTGGGACGGGCACTCCCAGCTCAGGATGGGTGCTCCCAGCTCAGCGTGGCCCAGGAGTGGGCTAGCAGCAAGGGGATGGAGAGGCTGGTCTTTGTGCCTTGCTCTTTGAAGATGGGGATGGTGGAAAGACATGGCTGAAATGCTGCTGCGGGTTGTTTAAACCAGCCTGAAACTGGGAGCAGTGTCCTGCAGCCAGGCAGAGCCCAGCAGAGGGAGCGGGTCTGCTGCCTGTAGGACACACTAACCCTGCTAACGCCACTCGCACCAGGAAACCGAGAAGATCATCGCAGAGCTGAACGAGACCTGGGAGGAGAAGCTGCGGAGGACAGAAGCAATCCGGATGGAGAGGTGGGTGGGGTGGGATGGGTTGATGGGGCGGGATGGGATAGGATGGGGTGGGACGGGATGGGCTGGGATGGGATGGGGTGGGATGGGATGGAATGGAGTGGGATTCTCCAGACGTCTCCACTCCTCTGCACTTTGCCTGCAGCAGTTCAGCTCCTGGGGGCAGCCAGGGAGTTTGACTGCCCAGCCTTACCCTGGCTACCCCTGGGCAGCCCAGTGCTCACCACATTAGATGTGGTCTGCTCTGAGAAACCCTCCTGAGGTACAGAAAGATCTGAAGCAAGCTCTACAGCTGGGATCCATGGGGAAAGCCTGTGGGCTTGGGTCCCATCGCAGGCTTGTCTAGTGGCCTTGAGGGGCTTTGACAGACTCTTCTTTCCCTTGCTCCTTCAGGGAGGCGTTGCTGGCCGAAATGGGGGTGGCCATGAGGGAGGACGGAGGCACATTGGGTGTTTTCTCTCCTAAAAAGGTAGGAACATCTTATTACTCTTCTTCCTAGCAAACAAGGGCTGGTTTGTATCCCTGCAGCTCCCCTCCAACATGCCCTGTTGCTGCTAGCCGGCCCCAAATATTTCGTTAACCTTTTCTTGGCTCTGAAACCCACGGGGATGATCACAGTGCTGACCCTGCTGGGTATGAGCATCGGTAGAAACAAATGTCCAGTCCCCATTGCCTGGATGCTGTCCCCATTCAGGTGGGGTTTCACTGATGATCGCTGTGTTGGACTTCAATGTCAGCTTCTAAAAAATCCATACTTTGGGGTATATGAAATTGCTGCCCCCGAAACTGGCAAGTCCTCGCTGCAAAATGTGGGTGCGGAAATATCCCGTACTCTTTATTGCTCATAGCATCCTGGAAAGTATTTTCTAAGCAAATACTGGCCATGCCCCAAAGAGTCTGTGTGCCAGACAACCCAGCTCATTGCTACCCCTCACTTGTCTGGGTAACCATCACGTCCAGTTTACAGCTCCAACCCTGCAAAGCCCACAGAGCAGGATGGGCTGCCGAGATGCAGGCACATGCCCATAGGACCAGAGTGTGCTTTCTTGGCTCTCCCACCGCACCGAGGGATGCTCCAAGAACCACCCTGGCAGCTGATGCCGCTTGGCTTGGCCCAATGTCTTAGTAGATGCATGTGTCTCCCAGCTGAGGTGGTGACACTTGGTGACAAAGGCTTCGGCATCTTCTCGTATTCCTTGATGCGGCTCTTTGGACAAATTTCTACACCGTCATATTTGTTTCTCATTCTTGTCTCAGCCGCTGCCTGTTAGGAGCCCAGATCTTTGTGTAGGATGCATGGGGGTTTACTCCCCAAAGCAGGTTGGTTTTGGAGGTGGGGCATTGCTGTGGTGGTCTTGGTGCCTCCTTGCTCTTCAGTTATCTGACAAGTGGAAACTCCTCTGACTTCTCCAGTGCCTGGTGAGGAAAGTTAATGTCAATAGCGCACAAAAGCCCGTTTCGTTAAGGGCAAAGCAGGGCAGGACTTTGTTGTCCTGCTGCATGCTGTCGCTGGGGTGGTTACATCCCCAAGGAGCTCAGTGGAAGGTAGAGCACCTGCCTTCTCCTAGCCAGCCTTGCAAATCTGGAGAAAAACTGCAAGCTGAAGGAGTCTCAGATCCCAGGGCTACGCGTCTGCCTAGAGGGGCCTGAGGTTAAATATTATGGCCAATTTATTCCTGCCAGCCACCTTGGAGAAGAGCCTGCATTTCCCTCGACCTCCAGCTCTCCTGCACTATATGGACTGAGTTTCTCCTATGAGCCTATGAGTTTCTCTGAAACCTCTGCATGCTGGGTGTCGGCGAGCTGACAAAACATTTCTCACAGTCTCTATTTTTTTTTTCTGGGAAACACAGAACTTCACCTACTGATATTCCTGGGACTTTGCCTGTTGCCGGGAGGTGCACTCCCAGCAGCTCGCGTTGGGGTGAGATAAGCTCGTTGGAGAAGGCTGGGGCTGGGGGAGAAACTTCCCTCTCATCAAGAACAAAGTGGTTTGTGACTCAAGGAAAGAAAGTGATGGGAGGGAGCTGTTAGGACAGAGACCAGGGAGTGAAATTCAGCCTGGAGATACAGCTTCATGTCTCCACTACTTTTGGTTGAACCTCTGCTCTGGAATCTACTCTTTTGGGTGTTTCGTCTGTCCTTGTACCATCAGCGGAGGAAAACAGGCACTTACGGGCACTTTTAGTTCCTCTCATCCTAAACCAGCCATTGCGTGGGATGTGTCTCTGCCTCAGCTACACCAGCTGCAGCAGAGCTGGGGCTACAGTGAGGCAAGGGCCCATGGACACGCTGTGCTGGCAAGCAGGGTCCTGCCCCGGGAGATGCTAAACTGTGTCAGAGACTCCCCATGGGAAGCATTTGGCTCTGTCTTGGGCCTTTTTAACATGAATTTTTGAAGGCAGCCAGCGAAAGGGTGCCCAGGGCTCAGCCCTTTGAGGAGGAAAGCAAGGAGGTGCATGGAGGCTGGTCATCCTCACACCGGCTGCTTAGTTCTCCTGCCTGGGTGTGTTGTACTGGAGCTATGGTGGGAAGGAGAGCCTGTCCATGGGCAGGGGACAGCCCGAGGTGCCACTGAACTCCCACCTCCCTTGGGAGCATCTGGACAGTTGAGGTAGACCAGGATGACTCCTTCTTCATCTCTCCCAGACCCCACACTTGGTCAACCTGAACGAGGACCCACTCATGTCCGAGTGTCTTCTCTACTACATCAAGGACGGGATAACGAGGTGAGGGTCCTGCGGAGTGGTGGGAGCCAAGCCTGTGTCTCGGTGGCTGACTTGCCTGGGTGGGCAGCTGGGGTGGCAGCTGTCCCTGGGCTTGGCACCATTCCTGGGATAGCTCCAAAGTGCCATAGCTGCATGGGAAAAAAATGTATTTGCCTGGCAATTTGCCAAATTTGCCTGTTCCTGCCAGCCCCAAGGATGGTTTTTTGCGGGGGAGGCCCAGGGAGGGGCTGCTTTGATGAAGAACTGAGCTGGGTCAAGCTGGGATTCCCCTTGCAGGGTCGGCCGGGAAGACGCAGAGAAGAGGCAGGACATCGTTCTGAGCGGACACTTCATTAAGGAAGAGCATTGCCTTTTCCGCAGTGACACCAAAACCGGCGGCGAAGGTATTTCCTTGTCTGGAGGGTCTCCACCTCCCTGGGAACCCCAGTCCCTCTGCGTGTCCCCAGCACCTGTCCCCAGCTGGGGGTGCTGCCCTCCTCAGACTTGTGGGGTTTTCCCACATGGCTGCAGCTTCTCGGTGCTTCTGGAGTGAGCCACAGCGCTCACCCAGCTGGGAGGGAAGCTCATGCAAGGTGTGTGAAAGCCGCCATGGTGGGGCAAGCCAGGGAGACCAGGGCAGGAAGGAAGAGCTGACCATAGCTGATTCCCCAAGCCTGAGATGCAGAGCAGACCCCACCCTGCAAAGCAGCAGGAACCTGGAGGTGAACGGGCTTCAGGAAGTGAGCCTGGGGAGGCTGGAGATGCGTGCTGGAGGCTCTGATCTGCTCCCACATCCAGTCTCCATCTGCTTTTAGTCCTTGGGAACTGCTCTGATTAACATGAGGTTGCCTGAGCCCCACTGCTTGCCAGGGTGGGGGTGCTGCTGGTGGGTACCCTGGTGTCCCCCCCATTTTTTTTTGCTGCAGGGAGCGGCAGATGCAGGATTTATCCCCTCTGCTTCCACCTTACCTTCGCTCCCTCTCTCCCCCTCCCTCCGTCTCTGCAGTAATAGTGACCCTGGAGCCATGCGAAGGTGCCGACACCTACGTGAATGGCAAAAAGGTGACAGAGCCCAGCATCCTGCGCTCAGGTGGGTCCCCAGAGCTGGCACACCAACCCTCCATCCTATGGGAGCCCTGCGGGTTGTCCCACACTAAACCTACAACCTTTGCCCCCCTGCCCCACCTGCATCTCTGTAGGAAACCGCATCATCATGGGG